TTTCACTCGAAATGGAAGTAAGCTCAACAATTATGAAACAAGAGATTCCTCGAAACCCGACTTTTCTTCGTATATTTTCCCGCAACGCAATTCCACGATTTGGTTGGCGGCTCTATGTTTTGTTTGCATGCATGTGGGCACAATTGAACAGACAAAAGTCCAAGACAAGCCCTCTTCGGTGTCGGATGCACGTGCTCATTCTTCCCATTCAGCTTGTATATTATTTTGTCAACTTCAGCTTCAGCCATCCACTGCACTACTAATATGCCGTGTATGAGTAGGTAGCTGCAATCAGACGCGAATGTGGTACGGGAAAATGTCCGGCCTTCCGGCCACTTGACGCCTGTCCTTTTGACGGAAGGACAATCGTGGCGGTTAACGTGTCGAGACTGCGCTCTGTTGCGTCACGGTTCGAGTCGCTGCAGTCCATTTGGGCCGAGATGAGAATAGGTTTTTTGAAGGCGGGCATGTGTGAACTCCAACCGAAGGGTAGGGCCAGTCCCTTTGACAGGTTAGACGAACTATGGTGAAGAAATGGCGTATATTTGAGCTGCTGGTGGTCTCGAAAAGTGGCTTTTAAACGAAAAGTAGGAAAGATGAAATCAACATTTGAGAAAGCAAGACAATGTGAAATTGATTAGAGACGTCAGCTCTACTTATTTCACTGTGGGAAAATTCTTTTTCTACCAGTCCTTATTCACCTTATGTGAAGAAAGGTTGGGTTTCGAGGAATCCGTTGTTTCATAATTGTTGAATTTACTTCCATTTCGAGTGAAAGTGTTGTGTGAAGAGATTTAATGGTCGGTTCCACCAGAAGATGATAGCGGATTTTTCTGGACCAACTGTCGTTTGGCTTTACTGGAACATTCATGCTGACGCTGTTTCTGATGCAATCTCCTCAAAAGGTGCCAATCTTTCTGACGAACATTATCAGAGAAAGGTATCCTCGTCACGACACAATTCAAGCTAACGAGTGTAGAAAACTCGCCGGCAAATCCCTAAAATTTGGTATATAAATTCTACATCTGGCCTCTTTGATCAAGTATAAAGTGATTTGGAGTTTTGGTTCTAATGATAGTCAATTCTCTGTACTTTTCGCTCACTCTTACTCTCTCGCATTGAGACCAAAAAACAAAAAATAGGCTCATCAACAGAACCAAACGAATGTCCGACCTTGCGCAATCGGAGTGATGGTTATAATTGAAATGTAGAAAAGGTCATCAAACCTTGTTGGCCAAAAACAGACGCACCTTTTTGCTGTCCTAATCACTTTGAGCCATCACTTCGGGTTTCATGGACAAGCGAACACAAGACGGCACATACACATACAGAGACAGACACACTCACATGCATCCAAGTTGAAATATGACCGTAACTGACCAAATCACTTTATACTCGATCAAAGAGGCCAGATGTAGAGTATATCTACCACTTTTAGGGATTTTCCGGTGAGTTTTCTTGACTCGTTAGCTTCAATTTTGCTGTAACTATGTTAGCTTGCTTTGATGATGTCCATCACATGACGGACAAAATCTTGGCACCTTTCCACCGGAATCGAAGGAGATTGCTTCGGAAACAGCGTCAGCATGAATGTTCCAGTAAAGCCAATCAACCGTTGGTCCAGAGGAATCGGCCATCGTCTTCTGGTGGAACCGAACTTCGAATCTCTTCCCGCAACACTTTCACTCGAAATGAAAGCAAGCTCAACATTGATCATCTCATACTACTGATTTACTGATAGTCTCGAAACGACACTTGAATGCGAAAAATAAGAGGACAGATAAAGCAACATTGAAAATCATACAATTTATGGGCGCTGGCGGAGGCATGTGAAGCCAAAGCAACAGCACGAAAAATCTACAGTCGACGTTGTTCGTGAAAATAGTTGTGTGGGCTTTTTTCGTCTGTCCTGTAGTTAGTGACTGGCACACAATCAAGCCTATATTGACCAGAAGAGAAGTGCCACTCTATTCTGCCGAGGAATCCCATCCCGTCTGGCCTGAAGTTGTGCGCAAGAGAAGCCATTTTGAAGCATGACAATCATCCTCATCGAAGCTGTACCAGATCCGGTTTCAAGTGGAGAATGAGGGGAAGAGTGCAAGCTTGCGGGATTTTGCCTCCTCCACCTCAATCCCGTCAAAACCACATTCGCAAAGCTTCGAAAAGTGAAAGGGTCAAACAGGTTGTAGCATCACAAGACACTGTTTGAATAAGATGAATTGTCAAATCCACGTCAGACAGATTGCCAGCTGGGATCAAGGCGGAGGGTCGCCATACCAAATATTGGGACAAATTTCGACAGTTGGCAAATACACGCAAAATGTTCGTCGATTCAAACCAGATGACGTACATTTTCGGTGGAAAAGTTGTAATCCTGTTGGGAATGTATCCATCGCGTGAAAACTCGTATTTAATCTTTACAAGTGTCCAAAATGAGTCCACTTCTCGATGGCGGACTCGGGCTTTTGCCATCTTTCGTATCTAATTTTAGAGCAAGTAGCCGCTCGACGTTGGTACAAAAGACGAATAAATGAATTTCCCGAGCAACAGAACTAATTGATGCCTACTCGTGACTTTGTGGAAAAATGCAATTCTCATTTCTTCGTCACAATACAACAAAATGGCCAAATAAACAGATTACCATATGAATATATAATATATAAAATGTGTATTAATTAAAATAGGCAATAATCAAAATGCGGATAGAGCAGATTGAATGTCATCTTGTGACTGAATCGTTTGTTGAAATGGGTCGTGTCCACTGGGCGACTGTCAATTGTATGCTTGTCTGCTACCACAGCCTTTATCGTCGGGGTCTGCAAGACGCTCGGCTGGCACCCGAGTCGGCCCAGAGCGGGATTGAGGCGAAAGAGCCGACACAAAGACACTGACAGACGACGCAGGATTGGCCAGTACCCAGCTTCACAGCCATCTGTAGACTTTATTCCCCTTTTCGCACAGTCTGCCACGTCGTCACGGCTCAGACTGTTGCCAGCCGGAGTGCCGTCCAAGCGGGGGCAAGAGGGGCGGCAACTGAAATCCCATGTTCTCTCTTCTCTTCGTAAATGGAGGCGTCTGGCGCCGTCGGAAGGCCGTCGGCCCGAGAGATTTTCAACAATTTGGCAGAGTCCAATTCGGGCCAGAGACACTGGGTTTCTACGACGCCTCCTCAAACGGCAGCTAAGACGAAGATCGCATACTTACCCGTCGGACTC